AACGGAAGTTAAATTTGCACAGAATTGACATGTCATGTGTCTGTTCAGCCCTATAGTCTGCTTCCATGTGACCTTGCTCTCTTTTTAAGTGTTCTTGATGTGTAGTTTCCTGTCTCAATGCTTTGTTATAGTTTTTAAAATATGTAGTTTAGATCATGTTATAGAAATTTCACCAAAATTTCTCCTTTTCTTGTAGAAATTTATGGATCTTTGTATCAAAATTCACTGAATTTGATGCCAGAAAGCTGCACAAATTATACAAACATGCTATCAAAAAACGCCAAGAATCTCAGGTAACAATGGTAGGTTTTGATTTGTCAGGTTAAAAGAACTTTAAGTAGCAAAATCACATCGTGTTTATTCATTTTGGAGCCTAGATTCATCCCTTGCAGCAGTGCATTTGAAAACCATGATTTTATTATTTATTTTTTGCAATTCACACACATCCATTGACTGTCAGGACTCAAATAAGTTTAGATTAAATACCAGCATGCAGAGTATACGGACATCGGATAACGCGTGTGTGTTTAAAGCTGCTCTCTGGGATGCATTGATTTCAGCACTTCTCATAGAAAAGCATATTGCTGAATTGGTTTTAATGACAGACTTGCCGCTAGATATACATAGATACATAAACAAATGTTATTTTCTTATTTATTATGAAGAGGGTCCATTCATCTAAATACATGCATTGATACCACAGAGAGAACCAATTTCTGTAGGGATGCTTTTTCTACCTAATTTCCCTGTGTACTATTTAAAGGAACACTCCAGTCACCCAGACCACTTCTGCCCATTGGAGTGGTCTGGGTGCCAACTCCCACTACCCTTAACCCAGAGTCGCTCAATTCCCCATAGGAAAGCATTTTCAATGCTTTCCTATGGAGAGCTCTAATGCTCATGCGCAGCATTGAAGAGGAGGAGCGGCAGCGGAGGAAGAAGCAGCGACGTGGGACATGTCGCTTCCTCTGGTAAGTCACTGAAAGGGTTTTCACCCCTTCAGCAACTGGAGATTGGGAGGTGGGAGGGAGAGGGGACCTGCAATGCGAGGAAAACGCATTATTTTCCTGGCACTGGAGAGTCCCTTTAATCTTTATTACCTTTTGTATATCTACAATGGTTTGTTTGTGTAACAATAAACACTTATTTTTATGATTTTTTTTTTTTTTTTCCAGCACAATGATCAGAATATCAGCAGCACTGTGAACACAGTCATACGACATCCCGGTGAGTTCTGTTTTCTGGAAGTTTTCATACATATATTCTGCTCAGTTGATTGCTACTTCAAGAGTAAAGATGACTTTTACCTGTAACTTTGTGTTGGCCAAACAGCCAGAAAATAGATTTAAAAAAATATTCAGCGTTGTCTACATCTCAGTTTGAATGACATTTTACTGATTATGAATATAAAAACTTTTTAAATGCAGTGGAAAAGAATGCAGACCTGAATATAAAACACCGCTTTGACAGCAACCTTTTTAGTATTTTTAAATGTAAAATTCCTCAAAATGTTGGCAAACGTTTACAGATGAAACTCCATGTGAATTCCCTTCTTCTCGGAAATGTAGTCTTTTAAGGTGTGGAGTCTTATTTGACACATTTAGGTTTTTTTTGTGTGGACCAATTCTGGTTACTAAGGATATGCATACTGCATTGTTATCTGCTGTGAAGCCTATAAATAATCTATTTGTATAGACCACTAGTTTTAAAGGCAAATTTAAATCATCTGTATTTTTTGACCTTTTTTTTTTTCTTTCAGAAGTAGAAAGACTAAAGGAGAATACCAACCACGATGATAGCAGCAGCAGAGATAGTTACTCCTCGGACAGAAATGCATCACAGTATCATGATCATCATCATAAAGAACGGCACCAGAACGATTCCTATAAGAAGAGTGAGTCTAGGAAAAGACCATATTCAAGCTTCAGCAATGGGAAAGACCACAGAGACTGGGATCACCACTACAAACAGGACAGGTCTGGTTATATTTATTAATATTAATTATAGAACGTGCACTGTGTTTTCTTGTTTGTTTCTTATTTTGTAAAAAAGTTTGCATTTTTTCAGAATATATATATAGCGTATATTATGTAGCAATTGTAGAAAGTGAATATTTAGAGCAGGGCTGCCCAACGGGTAGATCCCCAGATGTTGTAGAACTACAACTCCCATGATGCTTTGCATGCCTTTAGAATGACAAAGCTTCCTGGGAGTTGTAGTTCTACCACATCTGGGGATCTACCTGTTGGGCAGCCCTGATTTAGAGCAAGAAATCCCTGCTTAAACAAGCTTGCAATCTATTAGATTAAAATTATTGGACTGTATTGTATCTAATTCACATTCTACTTGCTCAAGTAGACTCCTGTTCCATTTCTGTCAGAAACGGCTTCTTTGGTTGAAGTTAAATGTTACTTCTTTGTCCATTTTGGAACGTCCCACGTAGTGACCAGAATATATTTGTATGGATCCTTAGAGGTAGCCATCAGATTTCATTGTACAATGCTGATTTGGAAAGATCTGCTTATGTGAATTTGTGAAACAAATTGCTTACAATTTAAAGTTAGGAGTAGGCAATATGTAGATCCTTAAATGGTGTTCAACTGCAATTCCCATGATGTATTGCTATTTTAAAACCCAGGAAAGCATCACAGAAATGTTCTGCAATATTTAGGGATCTACCTTTTGGTCATCCTTGATTTAAAAAAACATGCATATAGTATTAGTACCTAAAGGAACACTATAGCTTACGAATACAAATATGTATTCCTAACGCTGTAGATTCCTAATCACCATTAATTAACCATTTATTTGCTTAGCTTATTCCAGTGCCGGGCTCCTCGGCGCTGGTGACCTCTCCTCCTCCATCACCATCTACTTCAGAGTGGAGCCGAATGCGTATTCAAACCCGCCTATAGGCAAGCATCACTCAATGCTTTCCTATGGGGATCATATTTGACACTGGACTCCGTGAGGACGTCCAGCGTTAGATAAGTGCGATTTACTCCGTGTAAATAGTGGAAGCAGCCTAGTCGGTGAGTCAGCCGCTAGAGGCTGGATTAATCCTTCTCTGAAACTGTTTTCAGCTGCAGGGTTAAATCTAGGGGGACCTGGCACCCAGACCACTTAATTGAGCTGAAGTGGTCTGGGTGCCTATAGTGGTCCTTTAACGAAAACGTTACATTGGTAAGTGTTCAGCATCCCTGAACAGAAAACTGATTACTTTTGGTTTTATTGTTTTGTAATGTTTTTTTTTTTTTTTAATAACATTTTAGTGTTTTCAGCATGTTCTTATTAAAATTGATTTGTTTTGCTTGTGTGTAGGTATCACAGTGAAAGTAAACACAGAAAATTGGACGACCACAGGAGTAGAGATCATAGGTCAAATATGGAAGGCAGTTTGAAAGAACGGTCTCATTCTGACCACCGATCCCATTCTGATCACCGTTTACATTCAGACCACCGCTCCGATTACAGTCATTCTAAATCTTCCAGGGATTATCGGTACCATTCAGACTGGCAGATGGAACATCGGGCCTCTGGTAGCGCACCAAGGTCCCCATTGGACCAGAGGTCTCCTTATGACTCACGGTCTCCCTTGGGGCGTAGGTCACCCTTTGATTGTTCGTCTGATCACAAAAGCACCCCTGAACATATATGGAGCGGAAGGAAAACATAACACAAGGATGGGTGTCCTGAACTTGACTTTTGCCATATTGAGTAAAATATCACAGTGATTGCCTTACATGACTTGAAAGAAATGGACTAGATCTGCAGTGTGTCGCAGACATTGTTACTACTTTCTAGAATGCAAGGTCTATTATCACAACAGAACAGAGAATATTTTTGTACTTAAGGTATATGCTGCACTGCTGCAAATGTGGCATTTTTTTTTTAAAGAAATAGATGTTTACTATTTCGGAGACCTCAGCACTGCCCATTTAGACTGAATTTTAATTAAAAAAGAAACAAAATTATAAAAAAAATACAAAATTGTTCACGTCATATTTCCATGAACTGTAAATTAACTCTGTTAACCTACGATCATGTTTCATTGGAGGGAGCGATTTCTTGGAAAATGCTCTCAAAGACTTGGTTGACTATCCAAAGCTATTTGTTTACATTGTACACTGCAACCACCTTGCCGCTTCTCATCATATGCTTGAATATTTAAATCCTGTACCTAACCTGTAAAATAGCAAGTTTCTTTACTGTGATCAATTGTAATGTTTTTTTATTTTTACAAAGTAAACTGCTGTAAATTATTGTAAATTAATTAAATGAACAATTCTTCCTTTCTCAGGCTTTCTTTGACTGTTCCTTTCCCCACCAACTCAGGCATTCTCGACAAGTATGGAATTATGTATATACATGACACTTTTTTTTAATGGTTTTGATGGAATCACTGTTAAGAATGTAAAAAAATAATAGGGAAAGGGAACATGAATTCCATTTGTATGTCTTGCAGTGTTCCTCTTTATACTTTATTAGAATTGTTTTGATTTTTAAAATCTCAGTGTTGTGATGAATCAGTGGTTAAAATGCGTACATTCAAATTTTATTCATTCTGGCAATGTTTCAGATTTGAAAAAAAAAAAAAACTATACAAACAACTCTGCTGTCCAAACTTGAAACTTGCCAAAATAATGTACATCAATTTGTTTTTTTTTGGGTTTTTTTTTGGTTTTTTTTAATTGTTTTACCTTTTTTTTTTTTTTTTATGAAATGGGCAATAATGTCAAATGTGCTATGCAGCCAGTATAATTTACAGTAAACTGACTTTATAAACTGTTCAAGTGCACACTGATTGTATATAGAGTTCCTCTATACATATATACATATATATTACAAATTAAACTGAAGAAACATTTTGGCCTCTGCTTTTTCTGCCTTTTGTTATTTTTTACATGAAATATGATATTCTGTTTGTGTTGAAATATGTGACTTTATTTCTTTAATTTTTCAGTAATCTGTATAGTGGTTGGAGTGTGGTTGTAAATACATGCTTATTATCAAGGCTGTGCACAAACAAAGAACTTTTGTTATCTATTTTTAGAAAGTACACTTTTTTTTAAATTTAATTTGTATCTCCTTGTAGATGTTAAATCCATCTGGAGAATAGAGCGCTCTCCTGGATTTGAATTGTGCAAGCTTATTAAGGAAGTCTCACTGCTCGTGTAGAATCTGGAATGAACGGCCAGACCCAAGAAGATGGAAAACCATAATTTTTATTTTAAATAAAGTTATACATTATATCTTCTGTGTGTTGCACTGCAATTCATTATCAATCCAGACTGGTTTGCTCTTCTCATTTGATCGAACGGCTTCTGGGATTTTTACCAAGTTTTTGTTTATCGTATTGAGGAAAAAGGGATATTACCATCATTACTTGTAGTGATGAATGGTTGCTAATCGTCTCCTCAGAGAAACTACTGATCAATCAAGTTTCTAGATTCCTAGACACAAATCTACATGGACAATTCTTCAGTTGCAGTGGTTGAAATAAACATCCTTTCTCAGACAACACTACTTTCCATTATTTTTAAAGGTCACAATTCTAGCAGAAGCCTTGAGAAGGTTAAGGCACCACTCTGGACTGCATTCTGGATAGCTGGAAACGATAGTCATGTGATGTTTTGAAAACTTAGGAAATCGAAGTCAGAAGAGAAATGATGTACAGAAGCTGAAAATGTCATGGTGTGGACAGGGCATCAAACATCTAGGCTCATTCTCATGGAGAGGAAAGAGGAAAATAAAGTGCCAGACTTTCTGTTGTCACATTAGAACTATTGCTGGCATTCTGGACTAGGTAGTCACTTGCCGGAAGGTGGAAAAGCTTACCAGTTGCCTTGAATTGATCTTCCACGGATCAGATCTTCTGCAAGATCGTTCTCTGCATCAGTATAATGTATTACAGACACAATTGGCTGCACAAAACTTAATCCAGTTGCACAGGATAGGGCTGTAACTCAAATGCCTTACTGTCAATTGAGATGTAAGATTGTGATATCGGTTTAAGATAAAAGGACCACTTCAGAGTGTGTCCATTCTTTCATTTTACGAAATGTTTTATGAATTGGCCTTGTTGCACCCGCGCCCCCCGGCTGCCAACCAGGCAGTTCTGTTACTTCCTGGTTTGGTTCGCTCATTGGAGCTAAACTCTGGCAGCAATAGCCCAGAGCACCTGCCTTGCAGAGACTTCTTGAGCTGTATTGGGAAGGCTGTGATTGGACAGTAATAAAGTCTGTGTGGGATTACATACTTATATAGTTGAAAATAGACTTCCATCAAGTGCAGTCTCTTAAATATGTTTTTGCTATTGATTCAAAAGAAGGCAAAAAACGCAGTCTGAAGCGCTTCCAATTTTACAACAAACTAGGAAAACATTCCTTCTTGACCCCAAAATGGCAGTCAGATGTCTCCTTGGATCAAGCAGCTATTACCCCACTAATTAGAAATGAAATCCCTGTATGTTATGTTTTTGCAAGTATTTATCCAATTGCTGTTTAAACATCTGTATGGACTCTGATAAAACCACCTCTTCCGGCAGAGAATTCCATATCCTTATTGCTCTTACTGTAAAAAAACCTTTTCTTTGCCTTAGATGAAATCTCCTTTCTTCCAGCCTAAATGTGTGACCTTGTGTCCTATGTATAGCCCTGTTTATGAATAGATTTCCAGAAAATGGTTTGTACTGGCCCAGAATATATTTGTATAATGTTATCATAACCCCTCTCATGCGCCGTTTTTCCAAACTAAAGAGATTTACATTTTTTAACCTTTCTTTGTAACTAAAATGCTCCATTCCTTTTATCAATTTTGTAGCTCGTCTCTGCACTTTTTCTAGTGCCATGATATCCTTTTTTAAGAACAGGTGCCAGGCAGAAGATAAACGTCTTCAGCAGAGCGTAAGGGCCTAGATGGGACATACTTGTGTATAAGGGAGGATAGATAGGTGGGAGCCGCATTATGTAGAGATTTGAAAGCAAGAACCAGAATTTTAAATTGAGCCAAATATCTTACATGAAGCCAGTGTAGGGACTGACAGGAGGGTGAGGCATGGGAGGTGCGGGCAGACAGGAAGCTGAGCCTCACTGCCGCATTCATTATCGACTGTAACGGTGCAAGTTGGGAGCACGTAAGACCATTGAGAAGTGGATTACAGTAGTAAAGGCGAGAAAGGACAGTGGAATGGACCAGCACCTTGGTCTCATCTGGCATTAAGTAGGGTCGGATGCGCGCAATGTTTTTGAGATGGAAGAGGCAGGATTTGGCGATAGATTGAACATAGTTACATAGCTAAAAAGAGACTTGAGTCCATCAAGTTCAACTTTCCTCACATTTGTTTTTTGCTGTTGATCCAAAAGAAGGCAAAAAACCCTGTTTGAAGCACTTCCAATTTTGTAACAAACTAGGAAGAAAATACATTCTTGACCCCAGAATGGCAGTAAGATTTATCCTTGGTTTAAGAAGCTTTTCTTCCAGTCTAAACGCATGACCTCGTGTCCTAAATAAAGTCCGGTTTGTGAACAGATTTTCACACAATGGTTTGTAGTGGCCCTGAATATATATATGTTCTCATATACACTATCAGGCGACGTTTTTTAAAAAGGTTTAAATTTGTTAATCTTTCTTCATAGCTACACTTTTTCTGGTTCCATAATATTCTTCTTTAGAATAGGTGCCCAAAATTGCACAGCATATTCAATATGTGGTCTTACCAGTGATTTATAAGGAGGCAAAATGATATTCTCATCCCGACAATGAATGCCCTTTTTCATGCATAGTTTGTTGTCTATAAGTGCCAAGTCATTTTCGTGTGTTATCTCAAATTCGCTTCCATTAAGGGTATACGTTGCTTGTGCATTCTTTACGCTGAAGTGCATAACTTTTTTTTTAACATTAAATTTAATCTGCCATTGAGTGCCCAGACACCCAGTCTATCTGAATCCCTCTTCAGCAAAGTAATATCTTGCTCACATTGTATTACTTTACAGAGTTTTCTGTCCTCTGCAAACACTGAAATATGACTTTCAATGCTTTTTTCAAGATCATTTATAAACATGTTAAATAGAATGGGTCCCAGAACAGAACCCTGAGGGACACCACTTGCCACCTCTGTCCAGCTTGAAAATTTACCATTAATGACAACTCTTTTTACTCTATTTTTAAGCCAATGTTCTACCCAAGAACAATAATTTTCATCTAGATCGATTTATTCAAGTTTGAACACTAATCTATTGTGTGGAACTGTATCAAATGCCTTGGCAAATTCCAAATACAGGTGATACTCAAAAAATTAGAATATCGTGCAAAATTTTATTTCAGTAATGCAACGTAAAAGGGAAAACTAATATGAGAGAGACGCATTACATGCAAAGCAAGATAGTTCAAGCCGTGATTTGTCATAAGTGCGGTGATTATGGCTTACAGCTCATGAAAACCCCAAGTCCACAATCTCAGTAAATTAGAATATTGTGAAAAGGTGCAATATTCTAGGCTCACAGTGTCCCACTCTAATCAGCTAAGTAAGCCATAACACCTGCAAAGGGTTTATGAGCCTTTAAATGGTCTCTTAGTCTGGTTCAGTAGGAATCAAAATCATGGGGAAGACTGCTGACCTGACAGTTGTGCAGAAAACCACCATTGACACCCTCCATAAGGAGGGAAAGCCTCAAA